GCCGGCGAATTCATTGTTTTGCAAAAAAAAAAAAAGAAAAAAAAAAAAAAAAAAAAAAAAGAAAAAAAAAAAAAAAAAAAACAATAAAAGAAAAAAAAACAAAAAAAAAAAAAAAAAAAAAAAAAAAAAAAAAAAAAGAAAAAAAAAAAAAAAAAAGAAAAAAAAAAAAAGAAGAATATCCTCATAATTGGGAATGCCTGGGGGTCAGGTCTGTAGGAGAGCCCGCAGGGGCGTCGGCAGGGCCGTCTTAGTCGTTCGTTGCCGTGGCTCTTGGTTCGCACATTTTCGCGTCAACGTGCTCTTGGTGCGCGAAAGGTTTGGTCCAGATTTCCGCTGCGCCGAAGGCCCAGCATAGCTTCCATCTAGAACTTCAAATTCTGAGGTCGTCTCCCAGGGTCCCATTGCAAACGGCAGCCTAACACGTCTGGGCAAAGGCCGAAATCGATGTGTAAACTCGCTTAGAGGACACGCGAATAACAACAACGCCGCATCGAATGAGATGGTGCACTCAAACGGACCTGCGCTAACACACTGGCAAATCATTGGGCAAACCAGCGCCCGTCGAGCACAGCCGCGTTTACGGCCAGACAAAGCAGCCTACAACAGGCCCGCGTTTCCGCGAAACGCTGTCGGGCGCCAGCGGTGCAAACCCCGCGGCCGTAGCGCGCTAACTGAGAAGACAGCCTGACGTCGATGTCTCTGCGCAAAGCGGCCAAATCCTGCCGCGCGCGCGGCGGCGCAGAGGCTGCCCCCGTTGCATTTCTCCACGCGCAACGGCCCAACGCCTGCGTTTTCGGCGGGGGGCGGCTCGGCGCCTCCGCGCGCGCGGCGGCGCAGGGGCCGCCCCCAACGCATTCTTACGCAAGCAGCTCAGCGCCGCCGCGCGCGCGGCGGCGCAAAGGTCGCCACCATCAAATTCTCCGCGCACGACGGCAAAGCGCCGCCGCGCGCACGGCGGCGCGGGAACGGCTCGCGCCGCGTTTTCTGCTCGCGATGGCCCCAGCCCGCCGCGCGCACAGAAGTCGCCAAGCCGTCCTCGTCGCGTTTTCTCTGAAGCCCGGCGGCCCAATCGCCGCCGCGGCGCGCGGCGGAGCAGGGGCCGCCTCCACTGCGCTTCCTCGCGCACGCAGGCCCGACGCCGCCGCGCGCGCGGCGGCGCAATGGCCGCTCGTGATGCGCTTCTCCGCGCACGACGGCCCAGCGTCGCTGCGCGCGCGGCGGCGCAGGGGCCGCCAGCGTCGCGTCTTCCGCGCGACGGCCCAGCGCCGCCGCGCGCGCGGCGGCGCACAGACACCCCCCCACCCGCTGCATGTCACAACGCTCGACGGCCCAGCGACGCCGCGCGAGCGAAAGCGCAGAAGCTGGCCATGTCGCAATTTGTCCACGCGCGACGGCCCAGCGCCGCCGCGCGCGCGGCGGCGCAAGGGCCGCCTCCATTGCGTTCCTCTGCGCACGACGGCGCGGCGCCCCCTCGCGCGGCGTCGCAGAAACCGCGCGCGGCGCGCTTGCGCCGCCGCGCGAGCGGCGGCGCAGAGGTCGCTCCCGTTGCGTGCCTCCACGCTCGGCTCAGCGCTTCCGCGCGCGCGGCGGCGCGGAGGCGCTGGCCGAGCGGTTGCCTCGGCGTCAGCCGAACGGTTGTTGTGAACTTCGATTGCCAGGGCCTCCCCTGTCTTGGCGTCAGCCATGCGACTTGGGCGACGCGCGCTGCGCTGTACTCCTATCTCGCGCAGTGCGCGAGCGTTTTTTTATTTAACGAAGGATTATCGAAGGGCGCAGTGCAGTGTGTTTCGGCGCCAGCCGGGCGATTTGCGTAAACTCCAACCAGAAGAGGGCCCCAGTGCAGGGGTCTAGTAGGCTCTGGATCGCTCGAAGCGCAACGGTCTGGGATGCTCTGGGTCGACCGTGGCTTCGATCGCCTGGGCGATTCTGGATCGCCCGAAACCGAACGGGCCCAAAAAACTTTGGGCCACGCGAAGCTCATTGGCCTGGGAAGCTCTGAATGAAACCGTTCGGGCACCCACCGCGAGCGCGGGCGAGCGCACCCATGCGCTGGCGGCGTGCGTGGGCGGAAGCGCCCAGACACCCGCGGCGCGCGCGGGCACCCGCGCCCGAATTTACGACCCGTGTTGACCCCCCCCGAGATGGCCGCTCGAAAGTACCGACCAAAAGGACCGGGCGAGTTGACCGGCCGAAGTGATCGGCCGAGTCGAACGGCCGAGTTGATCGGCCGAGTTGATCGGCCAAATTGCTCGGCCGAGTTGATGGGCCGAGTTGATCGGCCGAGTTGATCGGCCGAGTTGATGGGCCGAGTTGATCGGCCGAATTGATCGGCCCAGCTGATCGGTCAAATTGATCGGCCGAGTTGACCGCGCGCGCGCGTTGACGAGTTGATCGGCCCAGTTGGTCGGCCAAGTTGGTCGGCCGAGTTGATCGGCCGACGCGCGCTTTGATGAGTTGATCGGCCAGATTGACCGCCCAACCGCGCGTTGACCGCCCCGCCGCGCGTTGACCAACCGAGTTGACCGCCCGGGTTGACCGCCCAGCCGCGCGTTGACCGCCCCGCCGCGCCGTGACCGACCGAGTTGACTGCCCAGGTTGACCGCCCAGCCGCGCGTTGACCGCCCGGCCGCGCGTTGGACGCCCGAATTGATCGCCCGAGTTGACCGCCCAACCGCGCGCGGACCGACCTGGACCGGCCGCCCATAGGCCGGTTGACCGCCCCAGGTTGACCGCGCAACCGCCTCCCTCGCACGGGGCCGCGAAGGCAAGTTGCGGGCGAGACTCGGCCACGACGCGCTGGGAGACGCCAGCGGCCCCAGAGGCACGTCCGACGGAAGGCCGCTCGCGCTGCGTTTTCCGCGCGCGGAGGTGCCCGGCCGTCGCGCGCGCGGGAAATCCAGCGCGAGCGCACTTCTAGCCGTCGCGCGCGCGGCGGCGCAGAGGCCGCCTCAATCTCGCCCGCGCGCGCCTGGCGGCGCCGCGCCGCCGCGATAGTGGAGCGTGCGAATGCCATGTGCTGTCTGGTAGGGTTTCTCCATTCGCTGAAGGGGCTCGCCCGCCCCGCCGCGCGCTTTCCCGCGCGCCGCCCCTTCTCCCGAGGGTTCCCGGGCGACCGCGTTGACTCCCTGAGGCTCTGCAAATCTCCCAAAACGGCCCTGGGCGGCAGTCGGCCGCCGAGACGGCCTCAGGTCCTTCCTTGGACGGACAAAGATGGTTCCGAGACGGATCGACGCGGCACCGCGGAGGCCCAGCACGGAACCAAGATGGTTCTGAGAAGCCCCCAATACATCCCAGGACGGCTCAGGAGGGCTCCAAAAGGACCCCGAAAGACCCTAGGGACGACGCTCGCTGATTTTGACACGGCGCTTCAATGATTTGGGGACATACTCGCTCCCGGCTTCAATCAGCCCGAGACGGCCAACGAAGCCCCCAATGTTGCCCTGAGACGGCCCAAGACGCCACGAGAATGAGCCGAGAAACCTCCAGATTGCGGCGCAGGACGGCCCCAAGAGAACCCCAAGACAGCCTACGAAGACAGCCGAAGGGATCCAAGACGGCCCGGGAGGGCCTCTCGACCCCCGACGGACCCGGGCGACCCCGCGACGCCCCGACGAAGGCCGCAAGAGAGCCCCAAGACGGCTCATGTGGAGCCCGGAGCAACCCAGGGAAGCCGCAAGGGGCCCGCGAGACGGCCCCACAGGAACCCAAGACTGCCCTGATACGGCCCAATTGAGCTCCATGAGGGCTCTTCAAGAAATTGATTGAGAGCGCGCACGTGTGACAGCCTAATTTTTGTCCCCTGCGCCTTATCATCGCCGCCCTCGTCGCCGCCATCGTCGTTATCATCGCTCGAACAGTCGCCGCCCATAGTGCTGGACTGGCGCGGTTGAGGGATTTGCTTCTGGCAGCTGGGCGCAATGCGAAACGCACTTGGCGACGCGCACGCGGTGCTCTCTTCGCAAGACTCGCCCACTTCCCTTGGCTGTGCAACGCGAGTCCCCGCGCAAACAGCGCGTGACATCGAAACCTCGCTGTTAAAATGTGCGCTCGTGCGTTCGCGTGCTTCGCGCTGCGCGATGCGAAACAAAACTCGCGCAGACAAGCGCGTGCTCGCGTGCTCCGCAGCAACGAGGCCGCTGGCGCCGCGGGCCATAGAACGAACCACGCGTCGCGGGACCCAAGGGGAACCGCGCTGTCGGCGAGATGGTGCACGCAGAACTCAGAAAAGCAAGACCGCCCCCCCGTCGCAAATCTGAAGTCGATCTTCTTTGTTCTACCATGTGGGCCGAGGTCGCACACGGACGGCATCGCAAGACCGAGGCCGAAGGCTAATTCCGAGGCCGAAGACCAACTTGCATCGCAAGACGCAGCTGCAAAACCAAGACCGAGCACCGACGCCCCGGGGCACTAGTCGAAGCCGGCAACCGCGACTGACCCATCGGACAACCCACCCCGAAGACCGACGTATATGCAGTAGCGAAAAACAAGCGACACTTTCAAGTGCACACCAACAGCCACGAGTCTGGAGCCACAGCTTAAACCAAACAAAATTCAAAACAACAAAATGACCCCAAAAACCTTCACACCAAAACGAAAACGGATTTCCGTTTTAATCGCTTTCCTTGCTCCTTCTGGGGCCATTCCTACAGACGACCCCGTCCTCTGACCCCCGGACAAACCCAAGGGCTAAAAGCATCCTCCACGTGGGGGCCCCCAGGGCGGCGCCAGGCGGGCCGCAGGAGGGTCGCTCCACTGCGCGCGCTCCCGCGCGCCCTCCCGCAGAAAAAAAACAACGGGAAGAGCGCGCCAGGGGCGCGGCGCCGCGGGAGCGGTCCGGTCCGCGCCGCAGCCCGCGCCCCGCACGCAGCGTGCGCTGCGCGAGGGCCCGAGCACAGGCGCATCCTCCCCCTCCTCCTCCTCCTCCTCCTCCTCCTTCTCCTCCTCCTCCTCCTCCTCCTCCTCCTCCTCCTCCTCCTCCTCCTCCTCCTCCTCCTCCTCCTCCGCGCACCTCTCGAGTCCAGTCGCGCCCTGCGAAGGCAGCAGACTTGAGAATAATTACATCACAGCGTGTTGCCCCCTGCCTGCCGGGGCAGCCAGCCCCGCGTGCTTACGACAGAAAGCGTGGCAAGCTTCGCGGACGCGGACGACACCGACCATCATCTTCCTGTGCGGCGGGCTGCGGTCGATGGCGATGCTGGCAAAGATCTTCGACGAGTTCGCGCGTTGCTCGGGACTGAAGCCGAGCGTCGAGAAAGCGGTGGTAGTGCCCATGGACTTGAGCAGGGACAGACCGTCCCGGCATTCCTATAGGCCTACCACGCAATAATCTTAGAACCCCAGAATGTTCGAATAACATAAACCATGTTCTTAGAACAGAAGCCCAATGCGTTAAAACAAAACAGTATCAGCCAGACACGTTCTAAGAACAGTTCGTGGAAACCACAAAAAGTGATTGGAACGTTGTTTGGCAGGCCTATAGGCACGCCGGGACGCTTCGCCACTGCTTGATGGACGCGCCGGACCTCGAGAAGCTTCGCGCGGCCATCGCGGAGCGGGCGCAGGCTTGGGGGCAGCTGGGCTTGGCGCGGCAGGCCCGGCACCTCGGCCTCACGGCGGGCCCTCGGCGGGGGACTCTCTCGTGGGAGGCGCCCCCGGAGAAATTCTTGCACCGCGTGGAGCTTTGGCGCTCTCTCGGGGCGGTGCCCAATTGGTCACCATGGACTCCGACTTTACCAGCCTGGAACATATCCCTATCCCTAGGCTGGGCACCTCCTCATCACGACGCCAAAATCTTAGGGATTCCCATAGTTTTTCAGGGCGCATCCCTGAGATTGCCATCGCCTTTTGGCGTGCCAATCTTAGGGGCAGGGAGAAGTTCGAGGCTGGTGACGACTGGTGCTGCGCCTCGAGCGTGCGCCCCCTGCGCTGCGCCGCCGGAGTGGGCCCCCTGCGGGGGCGAGCGCCCAGGCGGAGAGCTCCCCCCAGCGGCTGGTGCCAGGGCCCGCGGACTGGGTGCCATCAGAGGTCCTCCAGGCACTCACGGAGTGACCCTACAGGGCAGTTCTTGAAACATTGGATTTGTTCAAATATGGGATTTTGATACATGACTAGTGCATGCATAACTCTATGCATGAACTCATAGTTGTTTTTAATACAGAATCCCTTCATTTTTAATACATGATCCGCACGCGGAGCATGTATTAAAAACGACACTGTCGGAGGTCTTTCGACCCCCCCGGAAAAGAATGTGTAATTCATTATCTGCTCGGCGGCCTTCTTGACGGATTGGTGCCCCGCCAACAGTTAGTGGGAAACTGATTGATCAGTTCCTCGCGGCGCCCGCCAGCAGTGCTCTCGTGGAAAGTCTTGGCTCAGGCAGTCGGCGCTCAGAAGCTCTGCCCTGAAAGCTCCATCCTGAGGAGGACTGTTGAAGCTCAGGCCCCACGCGCGCCCTAATGAGCATCGTTCACCCGATCCCCATCCCCGCTCGCGTGGCCCGGGCCCCACTGGCCGACTTGCCCCCCCAGATAGGGGATGTGAGCAGCTTCTGCCAGATTTCGAAGGGTATGTCCCCAACTGGGGGGATGGGATGGTGGGGGTCTGCATGGGCATGGGCATGGGGATGGGGATCGGTTAAACGATACTGACCTTAGACACTTAACGGGCGAAGAACGGTATAACATAATTTGTTTCGCTGTCGGGGGCGCCTGTCCCTGGGCGGCTGGAAAGTTTATACCCCTACGGTGCCACCGTAAGGGTACAAACTTTCCAGCCGCCCTGGGACAGGCGCCCCCGACAGCGAAAAAGTTTATGTTATACCGCTCTTCGCCCGTTAAGACAAGGCCTGGCGGCCGAGCTCGCCTCGCTCTCCGCCAGCGCCTCGGCGGCGGCTGCCCGGGCGCTCGTGCGCGAGGCAACCGCCAGGACGGCGGCCTCCGCGCTCGGGCGCGGGCCCGCCAGCTCGTGCACGGGGTGCGCGAGGCGAACTAGACGAGCGCGCTCCACTGCTCGCAGAGTAGCTACTCGCAAATGGTCTAGATCTGCCATGCGGAAGCTGCGATACATCACCTCGAGGCAGCCGTGCGCTTTTCGGGCGTCTGCGAGCAGGCACTCTGCGAGCAGTGGGAACGCGCTCGGCGACGAACGATGTCAACCTGGCAGCGGCGGCGTGGATCCGGAACTCCGCCCTCTGCCGGCTCACATCGGCGGCGGACGAGGCCGCAGCCCAGCGGGCGGCGGGGCGCCCCCTTCCTCGCTACAGTCAACCCGTATCATAAGGATGCACGATAAGGATACAACGGCCGTGGAAGGCCATGTTGATACCTTCGAGCGGGGCGCGGCCAACGAAGGCGGCAAAAGATGGACCGAGGAGGAAAGGATGCAAGGGCACCCTTTGGACAGCTGCCCATCCTTCCTGTGCGATTTCACCGCGAGGGCAGACCCCGACGACCTCCAGACGAAGAGGAATTGGCGTCCGGCAGGCGGCGCAGGTGCTCCACACACTGCCCCTGGCGCCGCAGCGGCGCGGGCTCGCAGGCGGCCGGGCCGGTGGCCGCTGCGACCCCGGCCACGCGACCGCCCCGCGCAGCTGGTGGACGTCGGGCAGCCGCTCCGCGCCCGCGGCAGGACTCGCGTCGCCGCGGCCTTCCTCTGCACCGCCATGAGCGCATGGTGCGCGGCGCGGCGCGTCCAAGGGCACGCGCCTTGAGCCCCCCACTGCCGCGGAGGAGCTGCTGTAGTATAGAGGAGCATCACGCCCACTGGAAGCGGACATCCTGCGAGAGGGCCGCGCGGCACTGCATGGGGAAGACCTGCTCTGAGAGTCTACTGAGGCAAAGGATCCGTCGCCTGGCAGATGGTAGAGCAGACGGACACGACAGGCGCACAGTCCCAGCGCCTTCACTACAGGTTCCTGCTGATGATTCTCGGTTTCTCGGTTTCTCGCAAAAGGTCTGCCTCGTGCTAGCACATAACAGGCCAAGAGATCCCGCCTGTCCCCCGCCTCCGTCGACACCGCCAATACGCAGGCCAGCACCAACGAAGGAGGAGACCGAGAAGGACAAGGCTTCTACGAGTCTGCTGGGAGGGCAGCGCCGACTCTGAGGAGCAGGGGTTGGATAGGCTGTGCGCGGGGGGCTCGCCTCGCAGCGGCTCCGGCGGGGGCGCCGAGCCGGCGTTTGTCCTCTCCTTCTCGCTCCATTCCATTCCTCTCCTCCTCTCCTCCTCCATTCCATCCCCTTCCTCTCTTCGGATCCAGTCAATTCCTCTCCCCCTCTCCCTTCGATTAGGGCATCGACTACAGACTTGACCTACCCCCACAAAAAATATTTGTTCGTCGAAACTACAAGACAAAAAAGTCGATTGGATGTAGATCTACGAGGATTCGATGTATTTTCGTGGATTCGGCGAGCAAATCAAGTCTGGGGTAAATCAATGCTGTAGTCGATCCCCTAACTACTCAATTTCATGCGGAAGCTCCATTCCATTCCTCTCCTCCACGCCTCCTCCTGCTCCTTCCCCGCTGAAGGGACAGAAAGCTGTGTAAACATACGCTGCCGGAGGTCCGCGCAAGAGATCCGCGCAGGCCTCCGATGGACCTACAGTGGAGAAAAGTCCACAAGAAACCTTCCACCAGAAACCCAACCCTAAGACCCCAGGACGTTCATTGACCTTTGGTGTGGGACCGTCACGCTTTCCATCGCAAAACCATTGAAACCCAAGAAACCCAAGGCCACCCTGGAGGCAAGCAGGGTGTTTCTTGGCATGGGCCTCCACTGCATGTGTTTACGACGTCTTTGCTGTTCGCACCGCTCCCCCGAAGGCCGCGGGAACCCGGCACCGCGGGAAGGAGCGCTGGAACTCGCCGACGAGGGCCGGGGTGAAGAGCGGCACCGACCTCTCAGCTGGGCGCCCACAGCGCCAGCGAGATCGCCGTCGTCGCCGCCGCGGCCGTCGTCATCATCGTCGTCGTCGTCGTCGCCGTCGCTGTCGTCGTCGTCATGGCCGCGATCGCTGTCGTCGTCGTCGTCGTCGTCGTCGTCGTCGTCGTCGTCGTCGTCGTCGTCGTGGTCGTCGTCGCCGTGGTCGTCGTCGTCGTCGTGGTCGTCTTCGTGGTGTCGTCGTCGTTGTCGTCGCCGAGGCCGAGGCCGACGACGACGACGACGACGACCACGACGGGAGAAGGGAACGGGAGGGGGGGTGCAGGGGGATGGGGGGGAGGACAGAGTCGTAGGGACACGAGGGGAGGGACGGGAGAGAGCGGAAGGAGGAGCGGGAGAGGGAGGTAGGGAAGGAAAGGAAGGGAACATGTAGGACATAGGTTGGCCTGCGTCAGTAAATGCTGAGGTCCACAGGAGGTGCAGGTGGGAAAAGAGGAGGGGAGAGTGATGAGAAAAGTAGGACGAAAGGGCGGGCGATATGGGCGAGGGGGAGGAGGCGGGGCAAAGAACAGTCAAAATGGCAAGAGCATGCAGCGGGACACCATGAACAGCGTGCCGACAACGCGCTGTGGGATCAACTCGATCAAAAAAGTATGATGAATAGCGCACGCGGAAGCAGAGTGTGGAAACGTGCTGCCACGCCCCGCGCGCAATCTTGGAACCATGTAGCGCGGCGCACTATGCGTCAGTCTTTGGACACATATTACTGTCAGCTGTCGCCTGCTCCCCTCCACCGATGCGAAGAGCCTCTGGGGCCCCTTCCCTCCAGGACCCTTCTTTTCCATGGAGAAAGAGGAACGCAGGCGACCCGTCCTCCTCCTCCTCCTCCTCCTCCTCCTCCTTCTCACCTCTTCCCTCCTCTCCTCCTCCTCCTCCTCTTCCTCCTCCTCCTCCTCCTTCCTCCTCCTCCTCCTCCTCCTCCTCCTCCCTCCTCTCCCCTGCTCCTGCTCCTGCTCCTGATCCTGCTCCTGCCCCTCCTCCTCCTCCTCCTCCTCCTCCTCCTCCTCCTCCTCTTCCTCTTCTCTGGGGCCGTTTTCCTCCAGTGCAGGGAGACCCAGCACTGCCGCGGGGGTCACCACTGGGCGGGTCGCCGCCTCCTCAACGGGCACGAAGACCCCTGGAGCCTACCCGGTTACACCCGGGGCCGTAGGCGACCCGAGGAGGAGGAGTAGGAGGAGGAGGGGGAGGAGGGAGGAGGAGGAGGAGGAGGAGGAGAAGGAGGAGGAGGTGGTGGAGGAGGAGGAGGAGAGGAGGAGGAGGAGGAGGAGGAGGAGGACGAGGAGGAGGAGGAGGAGAAGGAGGAGAAGGAGGAGGAGGAGGAAGACGGGTCTTCTAAGCCCTTCGGACAACCCCCCCACTTCGATCCTCCCTCCTCCTCGGTTCTCGACCTCTGGGGTGAGGCGGTGCCCCCCCTGCCCATCGGCCAGACGAAGGGGACAGAACCATGAAGCATGAAGGCGTTTTGAGCGTAGATTGGGTGCCCGCCCGCCCCCTGCAGAGGAGGAAAGAGGGACACACACACACTCGACTCTTGAAGCTGGAAGGCTCATAAAACAGATATGGGATCTGGGAATTCCAGAATACATAGGTTCAGCGACCCGTGGGTAGTGGTTACCCCATCTGGCACTGCCCCAAACCTCCTCCATGCTCGATGCTCCCTCCTCCTCCGCCTCCTCCTCCTCCTCCTCCACAGAAACAAGAAACGGTACAGACATAAACGTTCGAAGGTCCGACAGTTTCTGTTCCTTCTGCTTTCTCTTCCTCGCACCTCGACCCTCGATTCCCCCGGGGAGGCGGGGAATCCCCGTGCCAAGCTTGGTTTTCGGCTCATACCTGAGGCCTCTGGCGGCCATGCGTGACGATCCGGACGCCCCTGGACGCCTCTCGGAGAGGCACTGCCCCTGGAAGACGCACCCCGAGGCTTGACAACCGCCGATGAGCCCACGAAACCGCCCGAGAACCGTGCATCTCGAACCCGGAACTTCCCAACTTCCCCCTCTGTGCTCGCCGCCGACCCCCTGGCATCACCGGAGGATGAAGGGGGGAGGCCGAACGTCCCAGCGTTCCCACAGGTCCACCACGACAGGTTCTCAGAACAACAGAACGCCCGAACGGCCAAAGCAATGGTCTCAGAACAGAGGTCCGATGGGCGAAACCACCACAGTCGCAGCCAGAACTGCTCTCAGAACATGTCGCGCAAACCTCAGAAGGTCCTCTGAACACATTCTCTGGTGGACCTGTAGGAGAGCCAGGGCGCCTCGCCACTGCTTGGCCCTGGGCTCCTCGCCGATCCCTGGCACCGCCCGAAGACGAGGGGAGAAGCGGAGTCGCCGCTGCCAGCCGCCCGGGCCCACTGTCGCAGCGGGCGTCGGCCTCGGCAGGATGGCCTGGGGCGGGGGGCTTCCGCTCGCGCTTCCGCCGCCCCTTCTGCGGCAGCGGCGGCGGATCGTTATCTCTTCGTGTCGTTCGGCCTTCCGCTGGCGCAGCCCTCCTCGTCACCACCCTCTTTCGTCGTCGTCCTCCTCCTCCTCTTGCTCCGCCTCCTCCTCCTCCTCTCCACCTCCGCTGGCCTC